ACTCTGCGAATTTTAAATGTTTTTAAAAAGGCACATTCTCGTATGATTCGAAAGTAGAAATTAATTTGGCGTGACCAAAGCACTAGTAAGCAACATTTGTGTATAAAACGACCTATAATTCCATTGTTGTAGTTAGTCACCCACATCATGTTTGAATTATTCATTTATCAAATCAAGGAACATCATAAAGTCCAGTGACGCGTGGCTGCCTGATGGACCAGTGTGTGGGAACGTTTCAATTCCACGTATTCCGTGTACATTACAGTGATGTTTATTTCCTTTGAATTACAATTGATCTCATATAAAATAAACTACATAATATTTATATGTTGACATTTGGAATTTCCCCATTGATAATGTTTATAAGTGCACTTAATCAAAACACTGAAAATTTCCCTGTGGATTTCATTCATGCAAATTACTAAATTGACGATTTTTGCATTCAATCCAAACTGACATTCAGTAGCATAAACAACACTCCCCACGCCCGCCCCCCATCCCCATCCCCCCCCCCCCCTCCCCCCCCCCATGTCCATGTCAAACATTTTGGTACACCAGGAAAAATATTGTCACAAAGAACACACATGCCAAATATGAAAGTCATGTAATATGACGCAATAGTTTCATCCAGTCCATGTCGTCACCAGAGTATATTTGATATCGAAATGTCTCGATCATCGACTGTTCCACGGAAAGTCCATGATAAATTAATATCGGTAGTATTTAATATACTGTGTGTCTCTTACATGTCAGAATTTCGTTGGACTTTCGAGATAGGTATATCTAGTACTAGATAACCTTCTAGATGTCTCGTGTTCCATAGAACTATTTCAATGACCTTGAATTGATAGTGTTACCGGTATACTTTGCAATTGATCGTGATGATATTTGTAATTTTATCAACAATTGTCGATAAAGACAATGATATTACTTCTCTGGTTTCTACTGGGGAATTCTTCTCAAATGATATTTCAGTGGATGATTTGTCCACTTGATAAATATATTATGGAAAATATTGACGAACAGCTCCGTTTCTCGGCGTTTCATCCCCCAAGAGACACAAATCTAGAGCATTTTGTTCTCCTATTCTGTCATACTGCCATCGGTTTGGGTCAAGCGTAAAACTGACCGCGATGATTGTATTCCCATCTGTGGGCATATTCATTGTAACCATGTTTATATCACTGTAGTCTCCACCCACACTGCTTAATCAATCAGTGTCGATTTATAAGCTTTGCTATAGGTACCAAGGTCATACTGTAGGTAAGTCGGTAATTATCAGTATTGACCTTACGATCGGGGAGCAACGTATGTACACAAATTATATATTCTATGTGAATACACATACGCTCCCGGTAACGGAGATGTCTGAATCTAAAATCCGGAGGATCCTACATAGAATCTGGAATGCTGGAGTTTCTTTACATTTTCTGATTATATGTCTCGCTCCAAATATATTCTTTGCTCTGAATGTATCCTTTGCTAATATTGAGGTTTTACTGTCAGTTCACAAGCTCTCGTAATTCAAAGTTTTCAGATATCCGATAACAGACTGTTACATATTAACACGTGTATGTGAACGTGCGGAAATAGACCTATAATCTCGATAATAATGGATATCACCCAGTAATAAACCACTAGGCCCGGATGATAAATCACTTTTATCCGGAATTACCAACGACTTGATATAGACACTCTTTCACAGATGAGTCATTTTCTGGACGCAGTTGCTTTTTATTCGAACGTGTCTTTGTCTGAAAGTAGAGATAATTTTTTATCTGGAAAGGTTAACAATTGTCTTGACGATCATCATCCATTATCTGGACAGAGACTTTTCTTGTCCGGGATATTGTCTGAACATATTGGAATGGCGCAATGTGCCTCGTCCTTATTTTGACTAATATATTCTATTGACATAGACACAGCCAATACGGGTGTTCTTCGGTTTGAAAAATTAACCAAAATATATATACATTCATGTACAATTGTCTGGATATTGAATTTGGTTATACACAAAGTTCTTCAAACGACTTAGTAAGTCGGAAGTTTCGATGCCTGTACAAGGTTATTATACATCTATCTGCAATGTTACGAGCATTGTTTTTGTCTAAACATCTGACCATTTTCATACTGGAATACGAGCGAATCCGTCAACAGCTGTCACTCCTACTGATAGATAGTGAAAAGTCCTTGGGGGCATTGCTTAGTACTTGGAATTTCAATAAAGTACAATGTTGCCTAAATCGATGATTTATTCCAATGATTTATCAATACCGAACAAGCGAATAACATATTCCGACACAAATTTTGAATTTGACTACATTTTACTGCTGTTTCGTCCTTCTTGGACTCGTTATGGATCCTAAATTTTAATCTGAGAGAGGAGTGAGAAAATCCAAAACTGATAGAGAGAAATTTAAAAAATTTGGAGGCGGATGTGCACTATCACCATAACTTAATCACGTACATGATTTTATATATGACACCGAGGGACGAGGCACATTGCCCTGTCTCATGTCCATTCCCTGATGCTTTATATTCTCTAGTAGAACTAAGGAACGCTACATTTTATCTAAAAAATCCATCCGCGTTTAATTACTTTATAACGACAGCAGGACTAAGGACTTTGTGTACGTATCAATCAACCAATGAGTTTACCGACAGGTAGGGGACAGGCCCGCAGCACTTTGGTTGTGTATTCATACGCGGTTCATTTTTGCTTATCAGTGCCATCAGGGAAATATGTTATCTATTTCCAATGGAGAACACCGTGCGAGGTTCAGTAGACAGTAATTACATCTGCTTTATAAATGTGTAGAACATCAGAGGTTTTTTCTAGACTTTAAAATGATAAAGGTATAGTTTGAGGGAAAAAAATACCATCATAGCTTTACTTCAATTAGAGATCGTTACCCAACTTACCCAAGTAATACGTTTCAGCAGGTAATACAGTGAACCAATTAAATTTGTATTCATACCCGGCCGCCATCGTTATGATGTTTTTTGGTAAATACTGAAGAATGGTTGACGTATCGGATTAACTCACTTTCTAGACGTAATGAGTTTCAGTCTCGGCTGAACGTCATTACGTAAAGCTAACAGACAGCTATAGAATATGCACATTTACTGGAAACAGGCTATAAATTATGGCGCAGTTTAGGATATCGTGCAATAGAGGCGTGCAACAATGTTTCTAGGATGAACTATGGTTAAAAGTATAATCAGAAAGTTCTTTTTGATGAATATGAGTATGAATAATTACATATATATCAAATATATAGGACTTGATAAGTGGGACTATTGAGTGATAACAGCCAAATTACTCAGAGGCAGCACAAGTGATAAACACGGTATTACATATGTTGAGTAAATGTGCAGTCTATGGTGACTTTATCCGACATTTCTTCATTTTTCCTCTGTTGATCGCGAAAAGACGCCGGTCGAAAAAACGAAACTCCCTTCAAATCGAAATAAAGCAAAGGCGCCAAATCGATGTTAAAACCATGTCAAAGTGGAAAATTGAAATGACATCTTTTATACCGCGGGTTGGCGTCTTTTCGTTATTTCGATTTGGCGGGATTTCGTCTTTTCGCTTTGGCGGCGGGTTTTCGTCTTTAAGTTATTTCGTTTTTTCGACTGACGTCTTTTCGCGGGCAACAGAACTAGAAGAACAAAATGTCAGGTACAAATCACCACAGGAATCTATATTTTAAGGAAATGAATTTCCATGTGGAATACAATTAGATGTTGATCGGTCGTTATAGAACATACTAACACACAAAAGTAACGAAGTAAAGTATGTTCAACGTATAACTTTGGTGTCACTAACGAATTCCCAGTTCCTCACCTTATGACGCGTTTGGCTCGAAATCCAATGCTTCCCATGAAATTCGGCTGGTCAAGTATTTCTAGATTCGTCAGGGAATTTTAAGTTGATGTTTGGCTTTCTCTTTTGATATCGTGACATTATTTACATGGATTGGCTAAGGTTCACATAGCTGGTATCGTCGATGAAGCAGAAGACGCCTACTCTTCCGGAACACCTGGTCGTTTTACTTTTTCAGGAACATCGATGTATTTTTCTTTTTTTCATATTTTGCCACCATTTTATTGAATTGTAGTTTTTATTATGATTATGTTGACATGTTGGTATTTTCTTCATCGTCAGTGTTTTTTAATGTTTAACACTTAATTGAAATTTATGTCAAACATGAGTACGTTTTAGAATAGTCGTTTTTTTTTATAACATAATGTAGAGGATTTGAGTATGACGTTTCAATGACTATACGGTCACCTTCATGAAACAAATGACCAGTATTGAGCGTACTAACACTGGGCTACGTAGTGTACGAGATGGTAAGGAATCGACCAACATTTTCTACTGTACTATGATACTAGGTACACTAAGGTTGGAAATAGTGTGGCGAGATTGTAAACAGATTATAGACCAAAAAAAGATGGTACCCATGTACTGTAGTCGTTTCGGCTACACTTCTTTTTAAACGTCACACCCTAATGTTCTACTAGTTGTGTTATAAGAACTTCTATTCTATTGACTTTACCAACCAGGATCAAATATTCCGAAACATGAGGGTACATATTGCGTTTATGATCATTACAGAAATGTCCTGCTGACTAAAATCAAGTTAAGAAATATTTAAAAAAAACGATGACAGATAAACAACAATTACAATGGTATCACACAGAAATTACTTAATACGATATGTAGTAATAAAAGGTTTATACATTTGTAAATGTAGCTATGCATTTGTAACTTTAGATTCGTTGGATGTCAAAATACCCACAATACAACCATTATAGAAATACTTCGCGGGTTTTATTACAGCTTGGATTACTCTCAATAAAACTTGTTCATTAGTGTCCTGCATGTTACACCTAGTCGTCACGTGCACCTTCAAATGTAGCCTAATCTTGTCAAGCATGCGCAGTGGGTAATACATCTACATCCGCTCGTAAACTTAAGTCTATTAGGATGGTGTTAACGATTGAAACACGCTTATATATAACGTTTGTCTTTGTTACCACGTACAACACAAGCTAAATTGAAAATTCAACTTCGGAATACGGGTTTAAAACGTAATAAAGCAAAGGGAAAAACTATCACATCGTCCAAAGCGGAACCATTAATTCTATTTCCAATTTCTTAGAATCAGATATACCACACGCTACAGCGGTAAAACGTATGATGCCATGCGTATCCCTCGACGCCAAAATGACCAACTTGTCTAGACCATTCCCCTGTCACGTGACCGACCAAGGATAAATCTGTAATATACGGCAATCGTATTGTGAAATATTTTCAATATAACATATACTGCAATAGGGTAATGTCTCTTTCATATAGTACGCCAGAAAATGATAAACAAAAACATTCCATTGTTCAAATTACATTTGAGTGAACTATTCAGCCATCAATTTGACTGTAATTTTTTTCGATGCGTTTATCATCAGTAAATCAGTGTTTATGTCAGTAGCCGTCCGGATTCCGAGTTAAGTTATGTAACACCAGAGAATGTAACATTCTCTATACGCCAGAGGTTACGATCACTTTCGCACTTTCACATGTCATGGCAGAAATGAAGGTTTTATGTCCGACACCTTGTGGACAAGATGAAAAGACTAGTTTAATCCTCTAATGTACATCAAACGAAACTCGAGGTCGCGTAACGGTACACTGTAATGGCTTTGAAGTTGGGTATCGCTTCTTTGTAATCCTCAAAAGTAGCGTATCAGCCTGTGATTGGTCAGCATTTTTCTCATGTAACCAATTTGGCCAGTACATGTTCCAGAGATGTAGAGAGGGTGATCGTAAACCTTGGAGTATCGAGGATGGGAATGTTACAGCATAGACGTATTTTCACATAAAATATGTTTTTTTCACAATATTTTATACTTTAACTAGGACACAAGTAACTGAACAATTACCCCCCTCCACCACCACCACCACTGAAAAAATGTTTAGTGTTGTTTCCACAACGTATCGATTGTATCAGTTTTCACCTAAAATTTCTAGCACATATTTCTACACAAGTACCACGAGCGATAACACTTATGCTTACCTTGTGTATGCTGTGCAATTACACATTACTCTTACAGCTGAAATCCATACCCGGCGTTCCATCATTACAAATCCAGTCGAGGACTGTAAAACATCGGAAATAGCTGTGTTTTGATGAAAGGTTAAGGTCAAATAAGGGTACTAACTGTAGTATAATAAAAATTCTTCAGACTTTTTAATAGTATTGATTGTATCTATGATATGGTATATAAGATAAAAAGTCATCAAATGTTCTTGTTTAGGGCGATATTAAAGATCTCTACAGAAAGAACGCAATCTGAATCTAGGTTTGTGTACCTGCTAATCAATGGTATACGATAGTATAGGAAATAAGTTGTCCTTGTGTCTGATACCTGTGTCAGGTACCGGGGAGGTTGATCTTGTGATATATCACTGTGTACCGGGGAGGTTGATCTTTTGATATATCCCTGTGTATCGGGAAGGTTGATCTTGTGATATATCCCTGTGTCAGGTACCGGGGAGGTTGATCTTGTGATATATTCCTGTGTACCGGGGAGGTTGATCTTGTGATATATCACTGTGTATCGGGGAGGTTGATCTTGTGATATATCCCTGTGTACCGGGGAGGTTGATCTTGTGATATATCCCTGTGTCAGGTATCGGGGAGGTTGATCTTTTGATATATCCCTGTGTATCGGGAAGGTTGATCTTGTGATATATCCCTGTGTCAGGTATCGGGGAGGTTGATCTTGTGATATATCCCTGTGTACCGGGGAGGTTGATCTTGTGATATATCCATGTGTACCGGGGAGGTTGATCTTGTGATATATCCATGTGTACCGGGGAGGTTGATCTTGTGATATATCCCTGTGTATCGGGAAGGTTGATCTTGTGATATATCCCTGTGTACCGGGGAGGTTGATCTTGTGATATGTCCCTGTGTACCGGGGAGGTTAATCTTGTGATATGTCCCTGTGTACCGGGGAGGTTGATCTTGTGATATGTCCCTGTGTACCGGGGAGGTCGATCTTGTGATATGTCCCTGTTAACCGGGGAGGTCGATCTTGTGATATATCCCTGTGTACCGGGGAGGTCGATCTTGTGATATATCCCTGTGTACCGGGGAGGTTGATCTTGTGATATATCCCTGTGTACCGGGAGAAGGATGGCCATTGTGATGTCAGTCTTTTGATAATGAATTGAGACGAGAAGAATGATGTTTAATGATATCAGTCTATATTTTCATGAATAGAACGAGAAGGATGGCCATTGTGATGTTAGTTTCTATTTCAATGGATAGAAATGAGGAGAATATCCACTGTAATGTCGGTTTGTTTTTAATGTATAGAACTGAGATTTCTGTTCTTTGTGATGACAGTCACTATTTTGAATAAGGATTGAGATTTGTTCTTTGTGACGTTAGTGTTTAGTTGAATAAATAGAAATGGAGAGTTTTTTTTGCGATGCGCGTCTCTATTTGAATTAATAGAACTGTAAAAAAAATCTTTGCGATACAGTCTCTATACGTTTTTAATGGATAAGGCCGAGAATTTTGTTCTTTGTGACGCCAGTCCCCGCTTTTAAAAAATCAATATGACTTTTAATTTTTTTTCTTGTCATTATCTTCCCTATCACCCATAAATACAGACTGTAGATAAAATGTGGTAGAGTTCATATCCATGAATTTGAATTCTAGTACAAACTACATGTTAATAAGATGGAAAACCACGAAATTTGGGCAACACGAAAATACATGATTCTACACTAGGTCACATCACTCTCATACGTACGGTCGTAGGTAAAAGGTTTGATCGTTAAATCGTTCCGTTGTGGAATTAACTCCTCTCTCATTTCCCCCAAGTTTTGGCTAATTACTTTGTTTGTCTGCTAACGATCTGTTTACCTCGCCCCAATGTAACGATGCTCGTGTATTATCAGTGTGAGTAGAACGGATCCGACACAGGGCGACCAGTACATGCTCACATAGACACACTGAAATCCTCAATAATAGCGTCCTTGGTCCATGCAACTCAACTGTGATTAATGACCGGAACTATTCCAACAGCTCACTTGAAGCATCATACCTCCGCATACCAGTATCAACATCAGACAGGAAGGAATCTCAGGTACAAATTGCTTAATGGCAACAAGCGCGCATTCACGACGTCGTGAAATGTGAGCGAAACATACCTAGACCCAGTTTGGTACGATACACCAAGAGGCATCACGGGGAATCCACAATAGTCGTTCGGAAGGAAAAAAACACACACATTTTCTTAATGCACCAATCTGATATTTGTGATGACTGATTCACGAAAGATGCATTCATATCCTTGTGTGTTATAAGTACATTGGAGGTACATGCACAAAAGTACATTGTAATAAAAAATTGTTAATCAGCTTTGTCCACAACCATCCATTTTCATTTAGAAATAACCAGTGTAACTTACACATGATCGACAGAGTCTAAAGACTTGAGTGATCGTCGGGTGTTACAAGAAACCAATTGCACGCGAAATCATTAGTACATGTTGGCACAAGTCTGAGGCAGCGTACACAAAACAATCGGTGCACGTGTAGTACAAATGCATGTTATGCACATGTACTCCACGCAAATCATCACAAGGCAAAAGGTGCCATATACTTTGAATCGGAACGTGTTATCGCATGGTTGGGTGTTGCTGATAAAACAAAACATTTAACAGAAATAGATTGTCCTAGACGTTAAAATTTTAGAGTACATTGCCGGGGTTTAAACAACTCTAACTGTTGTGGTGATCTACAAACACAGCAATGCGATGAAAACGACTATTCGTGGTATCAATTTCATTTACAGGTAATCTGTGTAGGTGATAGGTATGGAAGGTCAAAAGCCACATATGTATATTGTATAATATACTGTCAGTATCATCATTCTTACACACACTGGAAATCGAAATTTAATCAACCAGACTAAGTCGTTAATCCTGGAACTGGCATTTGATGATCCGAATTAATGTGCAATAAGATAAGGAAAAATCGGTAAACGATCGATGCACTCCGAATGAATGTTCAATACAGATAAAAAGATCTACCTTGTCTTTCGGGGACACATATAAGACAGTTTCTAATGATAGATGAAAGCTGATTACCAGGATATAGCAAGAGAAAGAAGTGTTATTCAATGGCTCGTGGCCTGTCCTGAGGTACTCTGAGGACGAACAGTCTGCACTTTGTAAGCCGGGAAAAGAAAATATTGCAGGTTCTCATTTTCCAGTTTAAATGGACGCCAAGTCAGCGTCTTCATTAGGTAGTATTTCTAAGTAACAGAAAAAAAGCTACCCTAGTGTTTTAGAGAGTAACAAAATATTTGTATCTCAGTGCAAGATAAATGTATATTCTTGTCAGATTCAAAAGAAGGGTATGGACCATTGTCCATACTCGCCAACATAACAGCTCTCCTGGAATTTAGTTTGAAACTGATATAATTTTTAAATACATTCAAAATGCAAAATGCATCTGTGTATTGTATGTGATACTGAAATTCTATACACCGGTATAAAATGGCACATCTTAAATTTTCTGAATCAATATTAACTTGGGTCTTTACTCCTATCGAAATTGCATGTACAACAAATAGAACTTCCGGGTGTAAATCCGTGATTAATGATTTAATATGGTGATATATCACAACCATTTCACAGTTGTTCATTTCTATGGTGACTTTCGAAATTGATTAATTTGTGATACGCGTGGTAAAATCTTGTTCTAATGAAGATTTCGGTGACTTATTTCACGAGCTAACTGTTGTACTGGAATGATGAGGCCTATGGCAGATATTTGTCAGATCTGCACAAAATGATTCCTTGAAATTCCAAGGTCATTCAAAACAGTCACAGTTAAATGTAACACTGTGTTAATATGGGACATCAAACATTTAAATACTCCAATATGATTTAAGTACATCCGATATATGGAGAGCCCTTATTCCTTGTTGACTCAATGAGTGATTTTAAACAATTAATAATTATATTAAGGCTGTGAATAACACTACGAGTGCATGTAGTGATTTCCTTAAGTCCAGTATACATTCATATCGGTATACGTATATGACACGTGATACGGAGATTTCACATGATAAAGTACAGGTACAAAAATAAACGCATGTTAGTGTCGTTATTACGTCCGAGGAGTGTGGACTGACCCTACGAAGTAGTACAAACCAGTACCCAGACAAAGTTTAAATACTCGTCTGGGTGAGTAGTACAACTCAGTATGACCAGACAAAGCTTAAATACTCGTCTGAGTGAGTAGTACAACTCAGTATGACCAGACAAAGCTTAAATACTCGTCTGAGTGGAAAGTACAACCCAGTATGACCAGACAAAGCTTAAATACTCGTCTGAGTGAGTAGTACAACCCAGTATAACCAGGCAAAGCTTAAATACCCGTCTGAGTGGAAAGTACAACCCAGTATGACCAGACAAAGCTTAAATACCCGTCTGAGTGGAAAGTACAACCCAGTATGACCAGACAAAGCTTAAATACCCGTCTGAGTGGAAAGTACAACCCAGTATGACCAGACAAAGCTTAAATACTCGTCTGAGTGGAAAGTACAACCCAGTATGACCAGACAAAGCTTAAATACTCGTCTGAGTGAGTAGACAGATTAATAACTATATAACTGTACACTGTGAATGGCTGGTAACGGTTTCCCTGGTACACAGATTTCTTTTCATTCCGGACAATGTGATTAATATTCATATTGATGGCTATTCTATCCATTAAGGCTCTCTCAATCACCAGATTTGTACCGACGATCGGTTTTATTGCTACATTGTAAATCCGAACAAGTAATATCTCCAACAACGTGTCCCTACAGCCCGACTATCACCATATGTGTAGTATCTATCTGTATTTGAACACAACTGTACTGTCTCCAACATGTCTCAACACTCCGGCTGTCACCCGATGTATAGTATCCAATATACTTGTACTGTCTCCAACATGTCTCTACACCCCGGCTATCACCCATTGTATAGTATCCAATATACTTGTACTGTCTCCAACATGTCTCTACACCCCGGCTGTCACCCATTGTATAGTATCCAATATACTTGTACTGTCTCCAACATGTCTCTACACCCCGGCTGTCACCCAATGTATAGTATCCAATATACTTGTACTGTCTCCAACATGTCTCTACACCCCGGCTGTCACCCAATGTATAGCATCCAATATACTTGTACTGTCTCCGTCTCTACACCCCGGCTGTCACCCAATGTATAGTATCCAATATACTTGTACTGTCTCCAACATGTCTCTACACCCCGGCTGTCACCCAATGTATAGTATCCAATATACTTGTACTGTCTCCAACATGTCTCTACACCCCGGCTGTCACCCAATGTATAGTATCCAATATACTTGTACTGTCTCCAACATGTCTCTACACCCCGGCTGTCACCCAATGTATAGTATCCAATGTACTTGTTCTGTCTCCAACATGTCTCTACACCCCGGCTATCACCCATTGTATAGCATCCAATATACTTGTACTGTCTCCGTCTCTACAACCCGAGTATCACCCAAAGTATAGTGTCTTTTTTATACCAGTACTGTCTCCAACATGTCTCTACAACCCGGCTATCGCAAACATGTTACGTGTCCATCTGTATCAGTACTGTCACCAACATGTCTCTACAAGCAGGCTATCAACCAGAACCGTTCATGAAATTGGTAAAACTACCTTGTATTTACTGTTTTGTTACATCTACACTATACGTGTATTCGAGAGACGTTTCTCTACAACGACTGGAGTTACGTGATTGTAATCGTGCGACAAGAGAAATAATGTCCTATACACGTGTCTATAATATTAGAACCTAACAACAAATCTCGGATAATTCATCCCTTGTCCTCTTTCTCTCAGACTTCTGATACCCTTTTTATCTTTTGATTTAGTCTTTATCAAACCATATTTGATGAGTGGGAGTTAAACATCGAGTACATGTTTAGATCGCGATGAATGGTTACAATCATTACGCTGTAAGAATAGAATTGCTTCGGGGACCTTAATGATAGCTTTCTAGTCCCTTTGAGAGCAATTTGAATTCGCATCTAACGTCACTCTTAAAGAAAATGTGTCTGCCCACGTGATGCGTTTCCTTAAACTTTCTGCACCAACACTCGCTAGTATAGTAGTGTTCATAGTAGGCGATGTAATTTATAAACCTATATGTATTTGCCTGTCTTGTTCACCAATTCTGTCACTACATGTGGCCACAAATAAATATCTTTCTTGGCCTTTATGAATAATCACAATTGACACTTTTACATTTACAATACCGTAAACATCATAATGTATGACAAAAACATCCAGAATTCTAAAATTAACAATGTCGGAAACATACAAATGTAAATGAAAAACTGGACGTCTCGGGCAGTGAACCACGGGATAGGTGATGGGAGATGATGGCATTACCGACTTTGCTTCGGAAGGTTTGGATGTCAGGGTAACTACACGGGGCGGGTCTTTTGACTATGTAATCATCCTCTTTACGGAAAGATATTTATTGCAGGACGGTCTCGTCAAGGTCGGCGGTGTGACCAAAAGGCAGTAAACATCGATTTATAGGCAATTTTCTTAACTCTGTGGAGTAAAATATTGCTTGAACATAAAGCGTGGGAGAGTAAGGTTAAGAGGAGAGGGGAGGGGATGGGGGTGGGGGGATGCTGGAAAAGAAGCGACGATCCCCACACATAAATAAGGCACGTTTTCAAAGCAACCTATCAAACCGCACAAGATCAATAGTCTTAGAACCATTCTTATCTTACAGTACCATCACCGTCTTGTATCTGTCAGTATCCATCCTCGTCCTACAGTAACATCACCGTCTTGTATCTGTCACCTCTTCCTACAGTAACATCACCGTCTTGTATCTGTCACTAACCATCCTCGTCCTACTGTACCATCACCGTCTTGTATCTGTCAGTATACATCCTCATCCTACAGTAACCTCACCGTCTTGTATCTATCATACTTTTCCTACAGTTACATCACCGTCTTGTATCTGTCAGTATCCATCCTCGTCCTACAGTAACATCACCGTCTTGTATCTGTCACTAACCATCCTCGTCCTACTGTACCATCACCGTCTTGTATCTGTCAGTATCCATCCTCGTCCTACAGTAACATCACCGTCTTGTATCTGTTAG